AAAAACACAAAGCGACCACACTAGTATCACTCCTCTAGTGTCATTTGGACTCTTTTTAGTGAATAAAAAACAAGTGATTCTTGTGAGTCGGTTTGTTTTAATGAATCAAAACAAGTGGTTGCAAGGGCATTTCTAAGTGATTTCTAGGGTTTTCTAGGTTTCATATACCACTAGGCTTTCAATAATGATCAAGCATCACTAAATAATCTGATTCAACTGAACTTTGAAAGAGTCAGAGACATCAGAGAACCTTCCCTTTTATGCTATGCATTGTTAACACTATTATGGACTGCTCTGTGTTCCTACGCACACAGTTCAGATCACAGCCAAAGTCTGCTATTCTGGGATGTGAGGTGTAAAGACAAGCCCAACTGACCTTTCTGCCTGCTTCCCTTGCCAACCTCGACAAGCGTTTGCCTCAGTTTGAGCTACATTTTCTCTCGCCAGCCCATGCGGACAGCTGACCATTACACCCACACAGCCCGTCCCAACAGCCCCCTTTCATTCCTGTGCAAATATGTCTATCAGTCACCACCGCAACTGCCAGCCGATGTCCCGCAGGAATCTCTCCACCTGTTCCCATCAGAGAGAAAGATCGATGGATGGAGGGGTGAGATATAGAAGGAGTGATAAAGAGTGTGCGGTATGGAAAAAGACAGAAATACTCCAACTCCCACTGACCGAATCCCCCACACATATATCCATATGAGAATCAGCTGTGCTTGAAGGTGTCATTTACAAAGGGCTACAGCGGGAACATTTTCTATCTATCTATCTATCTATCTATCTATCTATCTATCTATCTATCTATCTATCTATCTATCTATCTATCATCCATCCATCCATCCATCCATCCTATTCTGAGGTAGAACAATGAACTTAATATTAAATTACATTATAAATGTTCATATAATTATATAGTGACAAAATATTTTATACATAATTATTTATATACACGCACATCATATCCTCTATTATAGTATTCTAAATGTGTGTGTGTGCATGCAGTGTGTACATTTTGTGTGACAGGAAATTACAATATTTTTTTTTTGAAATAACGATGACACGTTTTACTCCACCATGGTGACAAAAGCTTACACTCACCTGTTCGCACAATGTATTTCCACAGATGAGCGCGACAGTGCGTCAGCCGACAGTGTGATCCACTGTATCCTACAATCCTGGAAGATAGAGGCAGCAGAGTCTTTATCCGAGGCCTGCTCAACACATTCCACATTCCTCACAGATACCATCTATTATCGTCTGACATCATCTCTGGGTTACTAGTTTACTGACCCACTAACATTCCATGCTAAATGCCTCCTACATAAAACACTTGACTAGTTACTGGCCATCTAGCAGATGCTTTTACATGCAGAATGGTTTTCAGTGCACTAATTGTAGGGACAGTCTGCCTGGAGCAACTCGGGGTTAAGAGCCTCACACATTACACATAACTGAGGTCTCGGGAACTCTCCCATTCTTGGCAAACACCAGATTAAATGAGCAATCAAGATATATATTATGTAATAATATAGCAAACTGAAGTCAACTTTGTAATATGTCCTACCAGATAGACATCTGGTAGCATGACAATACAAATATAAAATGAATGTGGATCATACACTGTAATAAAATACGATTTCATGACCTCAAAATGCTTTTACCATAGAGCATAATTTGTAGACTAATACATTTTCATGTACATCACATAACCAGCTCCATATATGGCTTTTCTGATGTAGTAAACTTGCTCAGTAGCTCAACCTGGTACAGAACTGCACTTGCGATGCACTGAAAGAAGGTGTATTGGATTTACATGATTCTGTACATACTGTAGGTTCCATATGAATCAATTAAGTAACACAAACATAATTTGTTCACGTATCAGTGTAGAAAGTGCTCAGGTACGAGTCCCTTGAAACACTATAGTCATACTGGTTACGTTCAGGGTAGGTGTTGTTTTCAAATGTAATAAATCTTTTGGTGCCACTCACTGCTACTTCCCTGTTGAAAAAAGCAGTGTAATGCTCTTTAGGTATGTTTTGAAGCATGGCAGCTGGTTTAAGCTGGTCCTTAGTTGGTCACGAGCTGGTTATGAGCTGGTCCTGAGCAGGAGCTAGTTGCTTAGGATCAGCTTAGGACCAGGACATGCTATGCAACAAACAGTACAACAACTAATGTAATAAAATGTTGCCAGATTCACGTTCATCTGTTTCGGATGAAATTGAAAATGCTTTTAGTGCCACACACTGGACATTTCACTTTGAAAATGTCATGAAATGTGCAAAGCAATGTAATATTATTTTGCAGATATTTTGCCACAGGAAGTATTTCCAATGAGCCTTTATTTGAAAATTGGTTTTTGAAGAGAAATCAAACAATTTGATGAGGTATGTTTGAGTTCATATTGAAATATCTGATCTATGATGACAGACTTTAGTATCTTTAATTTCATAGCCATCAATGAGAAACAGTTGAGATGTTACACATAGACTGTCCACTGCTGTCCATGAGGCCTGTAGGGTCTCATTCTCATGTGTGTTATTGTTTAACACAGGGTGGAGCTGGAGAGGAGCAGTCTGGTGACCTTTGGGGTCATGGTGTCAGGTTTGTTTAGTCTGCCTTTTTCTGATCATCCCTCAAGAGACAGACACAGAACTCGCACCTGACAAAGCACAGAGAGAGGGAGGGCAAAGCATGATGGAACAGTGGGAGCATCTAAATGCTACTTGTCAGCCTATGAGTAAGGCTTTGTCACACATGAATACTGCAAAGGTGGAGATGGAGGGGATTTTTGCATTCATGTGTGTTGACACCTCAAGGTCACATAAAACCCCCCACACAATGCCTTCTCTTACACCAGCTATATCTGTGTGGGAAAATTTCTAAAGCGTGTACACGAAACTATTTTTATTGATCACTTCTCTCTTCTATTTCTCTCTGAAATTAAGCCAACCCATTAACAAGGAAACTCCCGCACACCGAAAAGCCAACACTAGTTTCTCCCTTTTCTTTATTCGCTTTCTAAAAGATAACCTTTGCTCAATGTAATTAGTAGGTCAGATAAAAACAAGGAAATAAAGTTGTAAAAAAAATAACAACAACTGAGGCCTTTGAACCTGTATTGATGGTAACTGCATTCTCATTGGTCAGTCATATATTTATTGCATTTCATCAGAAAATGTCTACGGTAGTACAATTCAAGAATCCAGATAAATATTAGGCAGTTACAAGGGGTTGTTAGGGTGTTGTGGCTGGTTGCCAAGGCATTGCTATGAAGTTACTAAGGTGTTCTAAGTGGTTTTCTGTGTGTTGCTATGTAGTTGGATGTTGTGGGTTTTTATTCTTCAGGGTGTCGCTATGCAGTAACCAAGGTGTTATAATTGGTTTTGTAGTGTGTTGCTATGCAGTTGGATGTTGTGTGTTTTTTTTCTTCAGGGTGTTGCTATGCAGTAACCAAGGTGTTATAAGTGGTTTTGTAGTGTGTTGCTATGCAGTTGCCTATGGCCCAGGAGTCTGGGATAGGCTCCAGCATCCCTGCAAGTGTTTGCATAGTGGATGGATGGTTGGATGGATGAATGTTATGTAGTTGATAGTGTGTTGTGGGTGGTTGCCAGTGCGTAGCTATGCAGTCAATAAGGCTAAGTGTTTTTTTATTGTGTTGCTATGTGGTTGTTAAAAGTATTTTGCGTGTTGGCTCAAATCAAAAAGCCAAGTTCTTATGATATTCTGGACTCTATGAATCGGGAACCTCCTTCAAAGGTAATAGGGCATCTGTCTTCAAGAAGGTTCCGAGTTGTTCAACTCCTTAAAGATGAGGCTTGCATTAGACAGCACCACTCAGTGCTCAGTTAGGTGTGTTTTTGTCCATGTACACTAATGTCCTATGCTCATCAAAGGCATTCAGCAATCACCACAAGTAATAGAAAAATGAAGATCTACTTCATTGAACGGTTTCTGTCTTCCCTTCTCTCCGTCACCCATTCATCAACCTCTGGACAGCCATTTTGCATATAGTGATGGCTTCTTTATTGTTCTGCATTAGCGTTGTAAGAAAAAAAGTGGGAAATCAATGCAAATCTGATTACCATAATTTGGTTATGTCCATTATAGTCAGTGTGAAGAATCTCATCATGTGGTTTAGCCTTTTTATATTCCACAAGTGAACATTAAAATATTGAGTTTACGACATGTACCACAGCTCAGTATTTTGATATGCCCAGCCTATGTGATTTCTTGTCATATATACATTAGGACATTAACATGCAGTTCAATGTTTAAATGGACATTATTAGAGTAACTGTGCTGTACTGCTCACATTATTCTTAATAGAGAGAGAAAGCTTAAGGTTCATTATCAAAATCATCATGTATAGTAGTAAAAACGTGGTTTATATAGGAGAGAGTGGAATGCATATTTACTGTATGCATCTTGGTGTGTTTTTTTTCATGTAAGTGAGTGCAGGTGGCATGTTGTTTTTGGGATAATAGCCCTCAATCCAGCAATGATCAAGCTCAAGATGATGGTTCAGCAAACAAAATTGATCATTTGCTTGCAAAAGATTTCAGTGGTATATGTGTACTTGTTTCATGTATATTTATGTAAGAACAATATGCAAGATCAACTAAATATTTGTGTCTTTGTGTGCTCTTGTGCTAGGCTTGTTGCTGTTCTAAATGAAAAACTCTGACTCCACCTGCTGCTGGTGGTATATCATTATCCTTAAACTTAAACTGAGGATGTGTACTTTAACACACAGTATTACTTTGGTGATTTTTTTTATTTGCACATTTCCTTCATTTAATTAAATAATTAGCTTGAATTATATTATAAAAGTAATTTAATTGACGTGAAATTAATGTCCAAAAGAGCTTTTTAATTATTATTTATTTATTTAAATTTTTTAAAACTGCTTTACCACACAAAAGTTTTTCTTGCACTACAAATATTTTAACGATTTTCAGCTTTAGATTCATTAATATCACCAGGAGAACAAGTAAAGACAAAGTGGGAAACTTTTATTTCGGTAGTTTGGCTGGTAGAAAAATATGAATAGAAATTTGATAAGCTGTAGTCTGAGCCATTCTGGATTTATAGACTTTTGTCTATTTACATCCTGAACAATAATGAGTGATATTCTCTATACAATGAGTTTCCATGCCTATTGAAAAAACAAACAAACAAACACACACACAGATAAAGGCAGGAACATTAAGACTTGAGTTCATCACAGTATCTTAGCTTTTTTTTTGTCATTCTGTAATGCTGTGCACTGTGTCACCTTGATAATCTTGTACTTATATATTCATGTATAGTACATCCACCCTCACACTCACTAAAAGGCAAGATAATCTTTGTAAAGTCTGCCATTCACACACTCATAAAAGATTAAAAAGCCAACTGTTTAAAATAAGTATGAGCAGCCACATAAAATAACAAGGTAAACTGCTTTTCTATATATGGTTGAAAAGCAATCTGGAATATGGTGGAATGCTTTAGAAGATGTTAGGCAGCAAACGGTAGGGCACAGCCGCAGTGTAGCGGACCCAGTCCTTGCTGTACTTGTTGCTACAGCGGTGCTCATCACGAATGCAGCGGTGCACCAGTAGGATGGTCATGTAGACAATGTAAAAATAAGGCAGCAAGTGCTTGCCACCGCAGGCCAAGCAGTACGCCAGTGAGCCCATCAGGTCGCCCGTGTAGTTCATGTGACGAGCCACCCCCCAAAACCCAGAGGTCATCAGTTTGCTCTTGTGAATCCCACCATCGGCCGATCGGTATGAACACTCGATGAAGGTGGGCTTCTTACCCCAGATTTTGCAGTTACCCTCTGTGCGACGGAAAAGGTCTTTCTGGTGGTTGGTTGAGCGGAAGATGTAGTAGCCCACCAGGCCCAAGATGAGGACACCCGCAGCATGGGGTGTTGAGAGCTGGATGGGGTTGTAGACCAAGTAAAGGCCCTAAAGAACAAGAATATGAACATGACATAAACAGCATTATTCCTACTGAAATCAATGAAGCTGTGTATCAGGTAAAATAATGAATCCAGTACTGTAGATGCCACATCCAACACAAATCAAGCCCAGGAAATACTGCTCAGATACACACCTGTAGTGTGTAGAGGAAAGGAAGCCACACGCAGTCTCCCCAGCCCAGGTACCAGCCAAAGTGATCATGGCAGATGTCAATAGTCTTGAGGTACCAGGCTTCGTTCCAGAAGAAGTCCAACACATAGATGGCCTAAGAGAAGAAAAGGGTCAAAGTTGTGATAAGAGGTAGTGATGGGAATAATGTGGATGAAATTAAAAACACTATATGAATCAATACAGAAAACATATGTTGTTGAATCTAGCCAGTATGAGCAATAGTAAAGAACTACTAAGTTGTTTTATAGTGCCACCTAGTGGCTACATGACTCACTTGCAAAACATTGACCAGGATCATAGAGTTTGTCACATAACCATACAGCTCCTGCTGTTTAGCGGTGTAGGATAAGTTAATCAGGGTCCACGCCACTATACCCGGCCGGCCATTGAAGAAAAGCTTAAAGTCAAACCATTTTCCTATACGAGGGTTGAACTCAATTCCCATCATGTAGTTGTAGAAGATGTTGCCTGTGAATTTGCTGCAAATCAAACAAGAGTAAGACAGAACCTATTTAGTGTGTACATATTTTTTTCTCTCTCTTTGGACAGTCCAATGAAACACAATTCATGCCTTTTCTGTGACCAATGGGAAACTAAGAAAAAAACAAAAAGCACACACACATAGTCTGTGATTAAGAAACAACAAAACTGGTAAAAATTAAAAGCAAAATAATTAAGTAATTCATAATAATAATAATACTTATTATTGTTTTGTTATAATTATGTACATTATTTATTAAATTAGGCAATTAAAATGTTCAAATGAAAGCAAGACAGTTTACACTTTCATTTATAGTTTTACAACACACATCTCTTCCAACTCAAAACCAAATTTCAGTCATAAATTTAATTGGCCACTACAGTGTTGTTACTACAGTGGGTATATAAAGTGAACATACTCCTATTACAATTAAAGCATTTTGAGATGTAAAAAAATTTACCTTGTCATATCTTTTTCCACATTTAATGCAATATTGAAACCAGAAAAATTAATGTAATAACAAAGACAGAATCATTTAAGGGGACAAATAAAAAATAAAAACCTAAAATTACCTGGTTGCATAAGTGTTCATGGGGTATGGAACTCTGTTTTTGAATTAACCAATCACATCCAAACTCTTACTGAAAATTAATTGTAATCCTGTGGTCATCATTTAGGTGATGCTGATTAACCCTGAATAAAAATCAACTGTTTCTGTAGAATTTTTTTAACATCCTCTTGGTCACATTTTATTGCTGAAGCCATGGGCTGCAAAGAGCTTACAAAGAGGATGTGTGTTGTTCTTACTTGAATTCTGTTGGTTTCAATATTACATTCAATATTACATCTCAAAGCTTCAGTTTAACAGAGATGTGTAGACTTTTTTATACCCATATGCACAGTAAATAATCAAAATATGTTTTCTTACCAGTCCTCTGGGTTGGTAGGGAACAGATAAGCCTTAATGAAAGCCAAAGTGGACACAGCATAGCCGAGGATGTTGGTGCACCATAAGAGAGGGATCCAGTTGTCAATGATGATGGTTGGTGAAAACCAGTGGAAGTATTGAGTATTAGCCACCCATAAAACATGAGTGATTATCCAGCACTGCAGACCGTTGACTTCATACTTATTAATAAGACCTGAAAGAAAGCAACACATTTAAATTAGATGAATTAAATATGGTTTTGATACATTTTACCACACAAACCAATAGCGAAGCGAGTCAATTGAGCACAAAAAATATATATATATTAATATAATATATATATATATATATATATATATTAGGGCTGTGCGATATTGAAGAAAAATGTGATATGC